AAAGTAGGAGGAGGAGGCAGGAGAGAAGACGGCCTCGGAGGGCCGGAAAAAGGGGCCCCACAAGGCTCCCTGGGGACCCCAGATGGCCCCCAAGAGCACCGCAGATGTCTCCAAGAGGGGCCCGGGAATATCTACCAACCGACCCCCTTGTGGTACATAATCCCGTGGGCCTTCTTGAGGGCCCCTTGAGGCCCTCTTGGAGCCCTCTCTTGACTCTTCCTGAGGCCTCTGCCGCTGTCTTTGAGGGGCCCAAGGAGGCTCCAATGGGGGGGCCAAGAGGGCCCCGAGAGGGCCCCGGGGATGTTTCACGGCCGTGACACATCTCTGGGGACCTCTTGGGACCTTCATATGGCCGTGTTGGGGTCCTGATTTGCCTTTCTTGGGGCCATTTGGAACCCTCTTGGGGCCCTTTGGGGGTTTTGTTGTAGCCCTCCGAGGCCGTGAGAGCCCGACGAGCACGACGAGCGAACCCCGCGAGACATGTGAGAGCCCGACGAGCGAATCCCATGAGACCCGTGAGAGCCTAGCAAAGCCACACGGGAATCCCGCGAGGCAGTGCTCATCCAAAAGGCAATGCCTGAGTGAGGCCTTCTGCATACATGGACGGCTGGGAAAATGTCGCCACATTCTGGATACACCTGTACACAGCTGTCGTGCTACACTGGTCTGTTCATATCGTTATGTACGCCCGCCCATACATGTATATTTCTCTTTACGTGCGTACGCGTCATGATTTTTTACTTGCCCATGCATAATATATGTTAACTCACAGGCCCAAGCATCTATTTTTGGCCGTTTGTGGCGAAGGCCCCCCTCTGCGACCTAACGTTCTTGTAAATGCTGGAACACGCTCAGGCCCCCTTCATCAGCAGTTCAATATGCGTTGGGGGTCGATGGGCCTCCGGAAGCTGTCTGTGCAAAAAAACGCCCCTTGCCAGCGCGCGCAGGGATGCCGAGGGCGACCGGCAAGGCTGAGAAACATTCGCCCGACTCACTACGTGGCCCCCTGGTCGCGACGTTGGGCGGAGGCCTCCGAGCGCCTGCGGAGCAGTGCGTACGGGGAAGGTTTCGGCGGGCGTTTCTGCGCTTGTGTGGCCGCCTTTGGGCGCGTGCCCGCGACTGCGACCGCCCGCGGGCGCTTCGTGATCAGTTGCGGGTGTTCGTGGGCACGCGTGGAAGGTCTCGCCAACTTTTTTGGGAAGATGTGAACACGCGGGAGTGCTTGCCATTGCTTCCGCGTGCCTGTGAGCGCCCGTGGGTTGCATGGCCGCTTGCGGGCGTCTCTCCCAGTAGCTGCGCGCTTCTGAATGCCCGCGTGCGCCCCCGCGTGCGCTGAATGGCGTTGCCATGTTGCGAGCCGCGCAGACTGCCCCCAGCGTCAACGGAAGGCCCGACCCCAGTGACAAAAATGTTTCAGCAAAAGCGCTCCTGCGACGATCCTAGACAGTGGGAGAGCAGACGAGCGAGCTGCGGGGCCGGATCGCTGCGTTGGCACCGCGCTGGGGAGCAATGGAAATCGACTACGCCGCCGAGTATCTCGGGTTCACCCTCGGCCCCAGCAGCGGAGATCGTTTATGGAACAAGCCTCTTGGCAAATTCGCCGAGAGGGCCGCGGTTTCCACCTTCCCTTGCGCGCGCGCGGCCCGCATCTATTTGATCTCGGTGCTCGGATTTGTGGCCCAACTGCTCCAAGGTCTTTGATCCCGCCGGTCTCCCGCATTTTCCGCTCGCTCGTTTCCCTTCCGATTCACGGGGGGGGGCCTGTCCAGTGGTTGGACGGCCAGTGCTATTAGTTTGTTTCTTTTCTGTCTGTTCTCTTCTCTTCCTGCCGCTGCCGCCGCCGCCGCCGCTTTACCACCATCCGTCATTATGATCGTTTGCTTGGTTCGCTCCGAATGGAGCTGCGCCGGGGAGGTTTTCTGAGTGTTGGGGTTTGCTGCCCCCTCTGGGCCAGACAGGAGTGGGCCTGACGCGCAGTCTATGATCTTCCCATGTCTTTCCTTCTCCTCTTCCAGGTTTCGCGCGCCTGGTGAGGAACAGCAGTTGGTTTCAAATGCAACCGCGTTGCCGAGGCCCGCTTGCCGTGGTCTCACCGCGTCGCGCTGTGAACGCTTTCGAAGTGACCTGCGTCCGTGTTACGAAGATGGTTGTTGAAGAAAAAAACATTCGCCGTGCACGCGTGGGGAAACAGGCGGGAACCCACGTGTGCAGACGGCGGGCTTCTGCCCAAATGTTAGAAATAGGATTACGAATGGACTTCGGCACATCCCTCCACCGTGCCTGAGTTGCGGGTCTGAGGCCATTCGGATGGCTGGTAGGGGTCTCGTGGAAGGCTATTCGGGTGCGTCTTGGAGGTAGGTTTTGCACCTCTTTGTTTGGGGCCACCTGGGGGCCTCTTAGGTTGTTTTTGATGCCATTGTGGGGTTCCTTGGAGGCTTGTTGGAGGCTTACTGGGGCAACCCAGGGGCGTCGTGGGGTGGAAGACTCGAAACGTTCATTCGGGTTCCCCTGTGGGCCCCATTTTGGGGCTGTCCTGGGGCCCTGCTGGGCCGTCTTGGGAGTTTTTTTGGGCCGTTGGGGGGCCCTCTTGGGTCGTCTCGGAGCCCTCTCGGGGGCCTCTTGGCTCGTCTTGGGGCGACCTTGAAGGCCTCTTCGGCTGTTTGGGACGTTGTGAACGCCCCAAATGCGAATGTGATATATATATATATTATATATATATATATATATATATATATATATATATATTATATATGTATATATATATACACACACACGTTTTCCAAAGGGAGTAGGACGATGTTTGCTTCTGGAGGCCCTCTTGGGACGCCTCCTGGGAGCTTTTTGGGCCGTTTTGGAGCCTCTTGGGCCGTCTGGATGCCAGCGTGGGCGTTTTGGATCGATTTTTCAGTGACTCGTGGCCCTCGTGAGCCGCCCCGATGGCCTCTTGAAGCGCTCTTGGTCTGTTTTGGGGCCCTCTACCCCCACGGGTGCGTTCACCCGGATTCCGGTGGCCCCCCCCCGTCCACATGGACCGGACCGGGCTGCCGGGAGAGGGGTTCGGGGAGGGGGGACCTCTCTATGCCGTGCCATCTTAGAGCGTTTCAGGACCGTCTTGCGGCACTCTTGGTCCTCGTGATCGACTTGGGGTCATCCCCTGGCCTCTCGGGCCGTCTTGCAGCTATATTGGAGGCCGTTTGGGTCGTTTCGGACGGTCGGATTCCCAAACAGGCGAGGAATTCAAATTTTCTAGCCCGAAACACATATATACACTAACACGTGTACAACGGTAGACATGTATGCTTACATACGCATATACAGATATGATATACCCATCTTTCGGCGTGTAGTTAGCCGTGGGGTAGTGGTTTGGCGCGTCGTGTATTCGTGGCCCTTTTGGACTCGGTGATCCCATGTGCCTTGGAAACATAATCCTCTTCTTGCCGTGCAAATACTCTCGCATCCGCGATCCCTGATGGCTGGGACGGTGTCCGGCATTGCTGGGAGACCCCCTCCACTTCCAAACGGGTTTGACGGCTCTCACGGTGTAGAGATTGAGGGACCGTCAATAACCCCGCACGCGCCGAGGAATCTTCTGGTGGCCGGCAAGTCTGTGCATTTCCAATTCCAATTTGGGATGCGATTGCCATTGGGTCGCCATTGGATGCGTGCATTACAATTGGGTTGCCAGTGGATTGCAATGTGCAATTTCATGTCGCTTTGCATCCCGGCGTCCATTACGACTTGCATGTCAGTTCACAGGTCGGTGTACAAGTCGAAATGTATTTTGACAGTTGACTATTTATCATGCCGTGTTGCGTTTCGATTAGCATGCCGACCTAAGTTTCGGGATGCAAGTATCATGAACATGGTACCACGTACCACATGTCGATTCGATACCCGATTCGCATTATCATTGCATATGGATGTGTTTTGCATTTGCATGTTATGCGACCTGCGTTCGCATTCGAATTCTCCCGCGGTGCAACTGATGGGAGAACAACGGGACAATCCGCGGGGCATCGCATGGGGCATTTTGCGGAACAAGCCGTGGCATAACCACGGCACGCGGGGCCGATACGTTTCAAAGGGAAATCGTATCATTCGCCATTTGGGATTTCTTTCGCCTACCTCTCCTCCGCCTCCTCCTCCTCCTTGTCCCCCCCCCTCTCCTCCGAAACGGTGGCCCGAGTTTCGGCCACGTTCGCCGGACAGCTTCTGTCCGCTGGATGCCTGACTCTCTCGCAGCCTTGGCATTGCACCTGCACTCGGCGACTTGACAAGTGGTGAGTTGATCATTGGTTGTCCGCGTCCTCTCCTGCCTCCTGCCCTCCCCCTCTCCAAAATATTGTGCGCTGAAAAAAAAACACGGCCCGCGGGACAACCCGCAGGACAAAATCAGGATACTTCACGGGGCATCAACGGAACAGCCCACGGGACGACCACTTGACAAACACAGGACAAGCGTGGGGCGAACACGGCGGGAGGCCGCGCAACCCGTAGAATCGTTGTTTATACGATTTGGCCTTGGCCGGTTGTGCCTGCACATCGTCGCCTTCGCGCAGCTTCGCCACGCCCGCACGCCCGACACGCACGATTTCGAGCTCGATTTCCTGATTCGGATCGAGTTGTTTCGAGGAGGCACAAGACCCGAGTTCACCAGAGCTCGGGTTTGCCGACGCCTTCTGACGGGCCCATCTCGGATTTTGACGGTGCAGTTTCCGTGGGATGGTTGTATCGGGAGTTTGCGTCACAGTTGATATTGGGCTTTGTAGTTTTCCTCACGGCCCCGTCAGGCCAACCCGAGTCCCGCGACCCCGAGTCTTATGTCTCCCCGATCGCTGTTTCCCCAGTAGTACGTCGTAGTTTGGGATGTTTTAGGCGTCCTGAGGGGGCCGTCGTCACCACGGCTGGATTCGCTGCTAAATTCTTGGTCACGCCGCACCGTGGACGAACTCCGGGGGACAGCAACGTGGGTATTTTTGATTTGTCGTTGCCCGCAGGACTTCCGAGGACCGCCAGAGTCTTCGCGCCGAGGCTCACGGCCCTGTCGATGCTGAAGGCCAACGCGCTTGTGAGCGCGACGGTCGAGAAGGTGTCGGGAGGAGGGGCTGGCGGATATGCTCGGCGCGAAGCACGGCTGACAAAACCTAGTTTCCGACCTGTGTGTCTTTCCACGCGCATTGTTATTCTGTTCCACCTCCCCCCCGCGTTGTTGTCCAGCCCCTCTCCTTTGGTCCTGCCCCTTCGCCCCTCCGATCCGGACTACAGATCTACGAGGTACAGGTGTAAGCCAAATGAATCCGAGAGGTATCACTGCGGCCTGATGATTTCGTTTGCCTTTGTAGCCAGTGCGTCGTACCACGCGCTGCCCACGCGTTCAGCCCCGTTCCCCCCTTCGCGGTCGGAGTCAGAAGACATGTGTTGCGTGCGTCAATACGTGTCAAGCGAGGATCGTTTCACGTGCTTCGCATGATTCGCAGGGTTTTCTGGAAGCTGTTCGACTCGCTTTGCGGTCGCTGCATGCGGTGCAGCTCCCGTGAGAAAGAAGCCTCGGATGTTGCACTTGCGCCCGGGGGCTGCCGCGCTTGGCTATTCCTGAGTGCGTCCATTGTCGTAGTGGCTCTTCCTTTGGAGACGAGAAGGGACGGGTGCCGAACTCTATTCCAAACCAAATTGAATGTTGTTTGATGGTTTCAATGTGCAGGCGCGCCTTGCCGCGCAGTGGCGCGGTTCTCTCCGCAGCACACGTGGCATTCACCCTTCGCGTTGCGCATGCTATCACGTGCCAATCACGCGTGGCTGAGCTACTTCGTAGACGCGTTCTTGCGAGGCTTTTCGTGGGCCTTCTCGGGGTCCACCAGATCCGCCGGTGCCGAAAGCTCCAAGCAGCCATTGTCGACAGTTGTCAGAAACAACGCCGCCGAAAAAGCAGCCGGAATTGCCGCCGAAATTGCCGCCGAAATTGCCGCCGAAATCGCCGCCGAAATTGCCGCCGAAATCGCCGCCGAAAACGCCGCCGAAATCACCGCCGAACTCGCAAGCAACATTGCCGCCGAAAACAGCCGCCGAAATTGCCGCCGAAAGTTCGGATTGCGCCGGTGAAAATGGGCTAAACTTGACCTTGGCTTTGACTTTATACATGTGTCCGCGGCGCCATTGCGCAATATTAAAGAAATAATTTCGCTTTGAACAGGGTAATGCAAATTTCGGCGGCTGAATTTTGGCGACAATTTCGGCGACAACTCTCGGCGGCCATCTCGAATTTCGGCGGCAATTCCGGCGGCGATTTCGGCGGCAATTTGGGCGACGATTTCGTCGGCGGCAATTTCGGCTGCCTTTTCGGCTGCCCTGGCGGCCGTTTCAGGAGCCGTTTCGGCGGTTTTGCTTTTCACATTTGTCGGCGGATGCTGCCGGGAGCTCCCAGCACTCGTCTGTGGCAAAGAGGCGATGTGTCGGCGACGCAGGCTGACGCGCACTTCTGCGCGACGATGATTGTAACATTGGCTCTCTCGTGGTCTTGGCGGTGATGATGGCGATGGCAGTGGTGAAGTTTGGTTCAAACGGAATGCTCGTCAGGGGCCGTTGCAGGCGGGCCTGCACGTCCAGCACGGCATGTGGTCAAATGTTCAAATATTACCGCGCAGATCTTTCGGAATTCGGCTGCTGTTTCGGGGGTCGTGGTGGTTCCAAAGGATGGTCCTTTTTCTCTCTCTCTCTCTCTCGCTCTCTCTCTCTCTCTATATATATATATATATATATATATATAGATTTCACATATATATACACATTCACCCACGCAGCGCTTGCGCTTAAGGCCTAGAGGCTCTCACGTGTTCTCTGACCGAGTGGGCGTGGGGGTCGGTCTGGCGGCTATGCAATCGCCGTCGCCGCCCCGTCGCCGACTCATCGCCGCCCGTCGTCTGGGCCTAGGGGATCGGTTTGGCGGCTATGTTATCGCCAACGTCGCGCCATCGCCGCCTTGTCGCCGCCCGTCGTCTGGGCCTGTATTGTTTCGCGTTGCGATGTGTTGCTGTTCCGCGCTATGCCTTGCGTTGCGTTGCATCCGGTTCAATTGCATTGCGTTGTTTTGCATTGCGATGTCGCCCTCGGCATTGCTCTGCATTGTTTGGCATTGCTTATATATGTTTTCCCCAAGCTGTGCTTGCACACAGAGGTTGTTACACGTTTGTCTATGGAACTGCCTATGGGCCAGTCTGGCGGCTATGTTCTCGCCGTCGCCGCTTCGTCGCCTTCAGTCGTCTGGGCCTGCGGGTCAGTCTGGCAGCTATGTTCGCGCCGTCGCCGCCCCGTCGTCGCCCCGTCGCCGCCCGTCGTCTGGGCCTGCGGGTCAGTCTGGCGGCTATGTTCTCTCCGTCGCCGACTCATCGCCGCCTGCCGTCTGGGCCTGGGGGTCGGTCAGGCGGCGATCTTGCCGCCGTCGCTGCCCCGTGGCCGCGTTGTCGCCGTGTCGATTGCATCACATCGATTGCACCACGGCGGTTGTTCCACATGGATTGCACCACCAAGAATGCACAACATAGATTGCACCACGTCGATTGCGCAATCCAGATTGCACAGCACAAATAGCAACACATAGAGTCTTCTTTCTTTAAAGGAGATAAGTTATACCACCCTCCCCCCCGGACTTATCGATTCCCCAGAAACCGATGCAAAACACATGCGGTTTTGACCCAATGTCCATCCTACCTTTTGAATTCGTATTATGCCAGCCAGGCCGGTATCGGTACCCCCTCGGCGCCATTGCAAAAACATATGATGCACGCGCACCCCTTCATCAAAAATCACAAATGTTCAATAATCCCTTGCAACAGATGGGACGAAGTGCGCCCGCGCGTCGTCGCGCGCGCATCCCGAAATCATTCAAAAACGGATGGTTCCAGAAAGATGGCGCAATCGACTGTCCAACAAAACATGTTGTTGTTAAACACATTTCGATTTCGCAACACGGGTTTTCAACAAAAGCGTGTGCGCGCTCTTGCGAGTCCTTAAGAAAACCATGAACGGTTCAACCTGTTCATAAAGTGCTACCAAACGGGTTTCGCACGCGCATGACGAAATCGTTCGGACGCACTTGCGCGCGTGCTGGGGTGGCACGATCCATGTTGAATTATACTATGCGAGCCACCCTCGCGCGTCTGCCGCGCGCGCATTTCGAATTCTTTCCAAAACCTTCTTCACCGACGCGAAGACGCCGTCATCGTCGTCGGCGTGATCAGCATCGGCGCCGTCATTGGTCGCCCCGTCGTCGCTGTCAGCATCGTCACCAGCACCGCTGCCATCATCATCGTGTCTACCGTTGTCGACGTTGCCATGATACCGCGCCCGCCCAAGTCGCCGATTCGCAGTGAAGTGCCCGCTGGAACGTGCCGAGCGGTCAGCGCCACCGCGTGCGTGTCGGTCGCGCCAGACTAGCTGGCCGCTGCGCGCGCGAGCATGCGCGGGCTAGCGTGGCTGCAGAGATGCACCAGGCAACACCCCGCACTCATCGCAATCGCTCCCGCATGGGTTTTGCAAACCAGATTGCGGGTGGGTGGGTGGGATAATTGCGCGAGCAGTAGAGTTGACAATTTCAAGTTCGGCAAGTGAGGTGCGCCACATAGATTGCACCGCGCATATTGCTCCACGTAGAATTGCAGAACCTAGATTGTACAGCATATTTGTACCAAGTAGACGGCGCAACATATATTGCATCACGTATATTCTCCTTTCTAAAAACAAAATAGACTCTACCCCCCCCCGGCGTTATCGCCCCCCCTTTCGGATATGTAAGTCATATACGATTTTGACCACATGTCCATCCTAAATGTGACATCGCGATGATCCAGGCCAACCGGTATCGGCCCCCCTGAGGTTCCCTTGCGAAAAAACACTGTGCGGTGACATTTTTTGTTCTAACATAACACTTTTCCGCGAACCTTTTGCAAAACATGGGACGAAGTGCGCACGCGCGCGTCGTCGCGCGCGCATGCCGAAACCCTTCAAACACTTCCGGTGCCGGAAGGATTTCGCAATCGAGTTCCCAAAAACCCCCATCTGTTTCGGGAGGATTTCAAAATCGTGTGTCCAAAAAACCTACAAAAACCTAAGGTTTCGCAACACGGATTTTCAGCAAAAGCGTGCGCGCGTGCTCTTGCGTCGTCGTCGTCGTCGTCGTCGCCGTCCTCCCTCCTCCCGCGTCGTCGTCGTCGTCATCGCCTCGTCGTTTTCTGTCTTTCCTCGTGTTCGTCGTCGTCGTCCTCTTTGGCGTCGTGGTCGATTCCGTCGTCGTTGTCGCCGTGGTCGTCTTTCCTTCTGCTCCCTCGTCGTCGTCGTCGTCCGTCGTCGGCGTCTCGTCGTCGTCTCTCACATTTCGTCGCCGTCGTCGTCGTCGTCATTGTCGTCGATGTCGCGGTCGTCGTCTTCCCTCCTCCCTTTTCGTTGTCGTCGGCGTCGCCGTCCTCCCTCCTTCTTCGTCATTCGCGTCGTCGCCGTCCTCCCTCCTCCCCCGTCGTTGTCGTCGTTGTCGCGGTCGTCGTCGACGTCGTCGTCGTCGTCGTCCCCGCCGTCGTCGTCGTCGTCGGAGACGTCGTCGTCGTTGGCGTCGTCTACGTCGTCGTCGTCGTCGTCGGCGTCGTCGTCGTCGTCGGCGTCGCCATCGTCATTGTCGTCGTCGTCGTCGTCGGAGTCGGCGTCGTCGTCGTCGTCCGTGTCGTCGTCGTCGTTGTCGTCGTCGTCGAAGTCGTCGGAGACGTCGTCGGTGTCGTCGTAGTCGTCGTCGGCGTTGTCGTCGTCGTCGTCGGCGCCGGTTTTTGTTGCCAAGTGCCATGTGGAACCTACCGTCACGGTCTTAGAGGTTTTGTAAACCAAGTTGCGGGTGGGTGGGTGGGATGTTTGCAAGAGCATGGGATGGTTCACATCATGGGTAAAAATCAATTACTTATCTTTTCTAAAAGGAGAATAGACTCTACCCCCCCCCCCCCGACTTATCCGTTCCCCTTTCGGGTATGTACATCATATATGATTACGACCACTCGTCCATCCTGAATATGAAATCATTTCATCCCAGCCAGGCCGGGTTCCCCCCCTGAGGTT